CCAAGAGCTATGCTGCTTCCACTTGCTAGGAATTGCAGAGGTCTACTACAGGCTCATCTCACCTGTATCCCCCAAAGGAGCCTGTGCTGCCTGGGACTGTGAGCTGGCAACTCACTTCCAGAGACCACACAGAAAGGTCCAGGTGCCAGGATGGCTGAGATTCGGGCCATTTGGACTCACCCTGCTCTGCTGTCCTTATGAACCCAATGTATCATTGTGAGATTGAAGAAGGGAGAGGGAAAGCAGAGAGATGAGGCAGAAGCTTCCAGACCAGCTTTCTCAGTAAGTGGTGGATGGCCTTGGGAGGGTCCCCATCTCAAAGCCAGACTGCCCCTCGCCTGGACCTGCTTGCCTTCAGCCAACCAGGTCATCAACCATTGATTAGATCCCTGACCTGTCCTCATCTGTGTTCCAACAGATGCTAAGAGGGGCCTAGCTGAGGCAGGTGTGCTGAGCACTACAAAGAGGCGCAGTTTGAGCTCTGCCTTATTGTGGCTCAGAAATTGATGGCAAAGGTACATCAGGCATGGCAGAGAGGTGGAGGCATGGCAGTGAGTGGAGGCCCTGGGCATATGGACAGTTGAGACTAGAGACTTAGATGGGGTCCAGATTGTGGAGGGTTTGGGTGCCAGGATATAGGGTTTGAACTTTGCCAAAAAGCGAAGGGAAGCTAAGGAAGGTCCTTAAGCAGTAGGATGTAGCCTGACCTCTAGGTTATAAAGGTCTCAGTAGATGTGACTCAGGGGACTCTAAAGGAAAGTAAAGACTAAATACAGAAAGCAGGATTCAGGCTAACAAGAGCCCACAGCAAATCCGTAGAGGTATACTCAAGGCTCTGTTTAATCCTAGGACCCTGACAAAATCTCATCAGTGGCTCCCCTACTCTGGCCCCATCACTTGCTTTTGGGTTAACCCTTTGACACCTTTTCCTACGAAATAAATGGTCCCATGGAGAATTAACACTTGGGCCCCTCTTGGCTGGGAGACAGGCTCACCTCAGCTGCAAGAATATGCAGGATGCCATAAATGAGCTGCAGTATGCAGGAGAGGGTGCAGTCTTCTTGAGGGATCCCATTGTCTGAGTCTCACCCACCACAGAAGAGATAAGAACCTACCACAGTGGCCACAGGAAATGACAAAGCAATGACTGATCAGGGAGGCGCTGCACAGGGCTCATTACCGCGCTTGCCAGCAGGCGAGACACCCTTATCAGGGAGAAAATTGCATCAGGCCTCCTGAATTACTACCGATTGGAAGCAGATTTCTTGGGACGCACTTTGTTAGATACCTAATGAGCGGGATACAGGAGAGCAGAACTCAAAGCCAGCAGGGCAAGGGACAAATGTCTTTGTTAAACAGAATTTGTCAGTTTCCGCTCCAGGCTCCCTGGGGAGGGTTCAGGGCCAGCTAATTGAATTAAGAGCTTGCGCTCTCCAACAAGGAGGCTCAGGGCGGGGTGAGAGTCAGGCGGGCCGGAAGGCGGGCGGTTTCAGCACCATGGACAACATCGGTGGCCTGGCCACTCCCTAATTGACGGGGCTGGCTGGAGCCGTTGTATTTTGAATGACCAGGGATCTAGGGGATGGAGGAGGAAGGAGAGAGGCTGAGGATGAGAGGAGGAGGAGGGAGGAGGAGGGAGGAGGGAGACAGGTAACCTAAGAAGCTGCCAGGCTAGCATGCCATTGGCCTGATTTTTCCATCTCTGGCGGCAACAGTGAGAGCCAGGAGAGTCAAGGAAGAGGCATCTTCTCCCCACCACAATGCTCACCTGTGTGGGGACAGCTGCAGCAGCACAAGGAGCGGCAGACAGGGCCCTGAGTCTGAGCTAGTGCGTGGCTGTGCATGGCTTTGAGCTTTCAAAGTCAGCCTCCCATTAGTGCCCTAATGAAGTGGGATGTGCTGCAGCCACGGAGCCCTAGAACTAGGGGCCACTTGTCAGCCCCAGGCTGCCCCAGCAAGTGAGGCAGCAAGTTAACAAGTTTGTGGGGTGGGTCAGCAGCACTGAACTGCACTGAAGAAGCTGGGGGGAAGACAGGGGTTATCCGGGTGGGTTCTGCTCCATTGCTCCCCCTCTCCTCACCCTCTAGTGCCCTGGCCCCTCCCTGTGGCCTCAGGTCAGCTCCTTACCTAATCATGTGCACACTGAAGCTGTGGTCAGGGGAGGCAATGCAGGCCCTAAAGAAAGAGAACTGTTGGGAGAATCTGGGTGCTGTGGGAGAAGGCACAATGGTCTCTCTGGTCCCTGCACCTCACACAATGAAAGCAACTGCCTCTGGCCTCCCCTGCAGGACCTATGCTTGGAGGTACAAAGATGCTTCCAGAAAACTCACCTACCCAGCTCACCTCCAAACCCCAAGCCAGGACAGATCTTGCCAAAGTTGAATGGGATGGGGGCTGAAAATGTGCACAAGAGACCCTTGGGGTGGGAGGTGACAGGGCCAAGCAAGCCAGGTCAGAGCGAGTGATGAGAGAGGGCAGAGCAGAGCAGAGCCCCTGAGCCTGGCGGGGCTGCAGGAAGGTACTGGGTTGGGTTGGGCAGAAAGACATGAAGCCCATAGACGCTCTGACTCATCTCCCCCCCCTCGGGTACCCCCTGCCCTCCAGAAGCTGGTGGGTGAAGTAACTGGTCTGCACTGCAGGGTTGGTCTCATTTTTAATTCAGCTTTGTGACGAGATTTAATGGATTCTACATGAAAGTGCTTGACAAGTACCTGGCTCTGACCAGAGGCTAGGTAAAGATCAGCTCTAGGTCCCTGCATTGCTGGGACCATGCAGAGTGGACATCAGGGAGCGTGGCTGTGGGGGAGGGGGCTCCCTCGACAATTGTCCCTGCTTTCAGAACTGATGGGGGCACCTCTGGAGGCCTCCCTTGATTTCATTACTTCTACTTCCTCCCCTAACTGGATTAGATGGCAGTCTATGAAATCCAGGGCACTGAGATTGGCTTTCTGCCTGGAAATGAGAAGAAATGTCATTACAGGTCCTGAATCAGCATCTCACCCCAACCCCAGGGGCCATCTGGTCAATGAGGAGGCAGTCTTTGCCCTGGTTTATTCTTTCCTTCATTCCTTCATCCATCCATCCATCCAATATGCATATCATAGCTGCCCCAGTCTGGTGTTCAGCAGGTCTGAGCAGGAGGCAGATGTGTATTGTTCCCTGTCTAAAACACACAGGAAACCCAACCTGTGTGATGCAGATGCTGACCTGGGTGTATTCATGGGATAGAAGGCTTCATGACCTTGGACGCCTCTGGTAGGTAAATCTGCCCCCTTCTAACCCACAGCTACCAAGAGGAGCAAGAGAGGAAAGAGCCAGGCCTGGTGCACTTGGATGAAAGGTTCCAGAGTCTTGGTTAGGACAGGCAGTAGCTGGCCTGCCAAGCCAGCCTCAGGCACCCATGCCTCCCTCTTCCCATTCCCAGAGTCTTTTCATAGCTGCTTTCTCTCTGCTCTATTTCCATCCCCGTGTGACAGGGACCTGCAGAAATGGGGACCCAGCATGGACTGGATGACTCCATGTTCTTGTATGCCTGTCCCTTATTCTACTGACCCAAATCTGAACAGGCTCCGTGTTCATCCATTTCTGCACACTGAATTTCAGAGCACATGAAGTAATCATTTAGAGGACCTCAGTGGTAAAGAGAAGAGCTCTTGTCCCAATTCATTGAATTCATATGTGCAGATAAATGTCCATGTAGAGAGAGGTCCATTGCCCTCACTTGAACTCTGGTGGTTCAGGGTCAGACTCTGGGGCACCTCCAGCCCTGAGCACACCTATCCTGGTTGCCTCTGTACCCCTTGCTGTCCTTGATCTAGCACAGCACTGTAGATGTGGGGTAATGTGTGTGCTGTGAAGCCAAGGGAGGATCCCAGCAGCTGATGGGAGGTGGGACTGAGTCACCTTGGAGACCCCTACAAAGGCTGAGACTGCATGGTTTTTAAACAGTGGGCAGATTTTAGAACTAACCATGGAATTCAAGCAAACTTTACAGTCACCTCTTTCCAAAGAGAACATGAGTGTGCCCCTAAAGTACAGGAACTTACAGCTGTGTAAGAAAAACAAAAATAGCAAGTCCAGGAATAAAGAGCAATGTAGAAGCACAGATAGCCAGATGCTGGGCTAGAAGAACTCAAAAATTACAAGCAATTGTGGGCTAAGGCGTGAAGGTTTCCTGGGGAGGGGTCTGAGTAGGAGCAGAGTTTGGACAAGATTGGAGGATGAGAGAGGAGACCAAAGGGAAACAGGGAAATAAATCTACATGGCAAAGGATGATGCCCATCAAGTGAGGGGATTTTAGAAGCTGTTACTACACTGGGAGGGACTCCTAGGTGGCAAACTTATTGAGCACCTGTATATGTCTACTGAGCAGCTGCTATGAGCCAGACTTCAAGGTAAACAGTGTCCTTGCCTACGTGGAATTTACATCACAGTCTGGGCATTACAGGGGCAGAGGGGACAGGCAATTAACAAGTAAACACATTTTTTTCCTGGTACTGGGGATCAAACTCAGGACCTTGTGCTTGCAAGGCAGGAGTAGCACCACTGAGCTAAATCCCCAGCCCATAAACCCATTTTTTTGAAAGTTAGCTTTCTGGTAGAAGTTCTATGAGCACAGTAAAGTGGGATGCTGTGAATAGAGTACTTTGGAAGTGGGGTTACTTTGGGTAGAGTGGGGGTCTGTGTCTTCATGGGCAAGGCTTCTCAAAGAAGATGATGTCTGTGCTGAGGTCTGAATGATGAGGACAGTGTATATGTTCCACGAGGCCTTCCAAGTAGAGAGCAGCAGATGCAAAGGCCCTGAGGCAGGGAAGAGCTTGGCTTGTTGGAGGAGCAGCGAGATGGTGTGGCTGGAGCTCAACCAGGAAGGCAGAGGTGGGGTAGGGGCAGTGGCAAGAGATAGACAGAGATCAGGCATCCTGAGCTACAAGGATGGGAGGCTTGGGATTTCAAGAGGCACAGAGAAAGAGCCCAGCCAAAATTCCTCTCTATCTTCTCAGAGGCCAGAAAACTTCTTGACACCCAACAACAGCAAGACTCTGCCTACTCTGGATGCCAAGATCCTAGATGAGAAGCTGGGTACCATTCGAGAGTCCTGGTCCAAGGACACCATGAGCTCAATGGACTCCAGTGTGTCCTCCTCTAAGGAAGTGGAGGAAGAGCCCCAGATGCCAGAGACCATGTCACGTGATGCAGTGAGTGCCCTGCCCCAGCAGCCATAAGACCCTTGGTGAAGGCAGCTTGGGGCCACCTATAAGATGCGCGCTCTCTGAATGTAAGGGAAGGCAGGGGTCTTCCCTTTTTCTTTTTCTTTTTTTTTAAATTTTCTCACTCTCTCTCTCTTTTTTGAGATAGGGTCTTGCTGTGTAGTTTAGGCTGGCCTCAAACTTATGGCAATCCTCCTGCCTCAGCCTCCCAAGTGCTGGGTGTATGAGTGTGCACCATGACACTCAGCTACATTCTTCCTCTTTCAAATGGGACTCTCCTGTGGCTTCTTTTGGGGCAAACCCCCATAGCCCTGTCCCAAATCTCTCAGGTCCATGTCCACTGGGTGATGGGAAGCACCTCAGAGATGACTTGCAACTTGTAAGAGAGGAAGTTGGGCTCACAGAAAAGAGGACAACATTTTCCATGTTGTTGATCCTAGGTACTGGTTGTGTGGAGGGGTCACTGCTGAGTCTCAGCCCCTTGGTACAGAAAGCTAAAGAACAGGCTGCCCAAATGACAGCCCCAAGTCCCCAGTGGAGGTGGCACCAGGTGCCCTGGGAGACTCCACTCACGGCTCCCTCCCTTTCTCCCAGCGGGTCCCATGGGGAGCACTGCTCCAGAAGGCTCTGAGGACAGCGCCCCAGACAGAGCCCAAAGGAAGCCCAGGTTGTCCTTGTTCTGGGACACTGCCCCCCAGCCCCCAACAGCCTCCTTGCCCCCTGTGCACCTCTGCACCCTTCTGGGACATGCACCACCGCATGTATAGAAAGGATGACTGCCACTGGGTGGGCCTGGGATGCCCCCACTGAGTGACCTCCTCCCCACTGCCTTCTGTGGATGCCACGGCTCTCTCAGGCCAATTCTGCGGGATCCCTACAGCTGGGATCCCAGGCCCAGTGTCTTCTAGGTAAATGATTCAGGGTCCACGTGAAGTCACAGGTCTGGGGACCTGAATTATACAGGAGACATCAGCTACAGATAATTCAGTACTATGGATTGGTTGGGGGGAATGGGCTGGCTGGAGTCATGCTATGTTTTTCAGACGTGATGAGAGCAGTAACGGGAGCAGGAAGGCGGGAAAAACAGAGCTGGGGAGGAAACCACCTGGAGGTACAGGATGGATGTGATGCGTGGGCAATGCACACACGTTTTTGTTGTTGTCTGAAAGAATGATGCGGTCTCACAGGTCATGAGTGCATGGCGGTCTCTTAAGGATTAGCCTCGATGATGGGGGACTGGACTGAAACCCGGGAGGCGAAGGTTGGCATGAGCGGGGCCCGTCTTTGAGCAAGAGTAATCCCTGACAGTGAGAGGGTCGGGAAATAAGTGGCCTCAGGCCTCAGGACAGAATTCTGGGAGGCTTGGTCCATCCTATCCCTGCAGACGGAGTTGGGTTCCACGGCGAGTACCTCAGCACACTCACCCTGGATGTCACCCCAGAACCCCCATCCGTGGGCCATGCCTCAAAGGGAGGTCCCCAGTCCCTTCTCTCTCCTTCATGCTGAACACCTGGCGAGGACCCAAAGATTGGCTGCTGGTTCATTGTTGGCTTGTGTCCCCCAGCTGCTGCTGTGCAGCCTGAAGTAATGCACACAGTGCCCATCTCTTCACTAGGATCCAGGGCCTAGCACACACCTGGCCTCCCTTAGACTTCAGCAAATGCTTGTACGGCAACGCCGCAAAACCCCCGGCAGTAGCTGCTCTGTCCTTGCCTGTCCCTGTCTGATGCAGGCCCTGTCCCTTCTTCCCCTCCTGGTTCCCAACTCTTAGTTCCATGCTTTGTTTACTTTCCCACCCCCAATTCACTCCCCACCTCCTCTTTCTGTGCCCCCACACTCGGATCTGCCATGCTGGCTGTCCCTCCCGACCCTGCACCCTCGCTGGGTCCCAGACATCAACTCCCATCTGCTGGCCAGAGTCCAAAAGGACCAGGCCAGGACTCAGACACACACCTCCATCTGCAGGGCCAATGGAGCCCCACTACAGGAGTAGCATGTGGGCCGGTAGCAACCACGTACAGCTCTAAGACAGTCACAGGGAGCCGTACAGCCACGGGTCACTGTGCCATAGCAACCAAGCAAAATTACATAGCAATGCCTGGACTCCTGCAACCAAGAGGCAGAGTGACAAGCAACAGAACACGGCTAGGGAGCACAGGAGCACAGAAGTCGCATAATAGTGTAGGACGATGTCACGCAGCACGGCAGCGCAGGAGACTGACTGCGGGACAGAGTGAGGAGTGCAGAGCTTAGTGTGAGCCATAGACAGATTTACAGAGCAAAGGTGAACTTGTCTCTGGGGGTGGTCACGTAGCAGAGCCGCAGGAGAAGCCCTGCCCAGACGTGCAGGAGTGGGTAGTGACTGAGTGAGCCCAGGCGCTCTCAGCTGCTGGCCTTGGCCTCATGATGAACCTGTAGTGTCTCTGACTCCCCCAGTACTGGTCTGTGTCTGCACCCGCATGTCCCAGGGTGCAGGGAGCCGTGTGTCTCTGATTCCCTCCAGAGCTTAGCGGGAAATGAACGTTTTGTGGAGAACAAAGCACTTTGGGGGGGCAACAGAGGGGATCCATCCATGCCTGTCTGTGCCTGGACCCCCAGGTCTGCCCATCCCACACCCTCAGCCCGCCAAGCTGACCTGGGCTCCCTGCCAAATTCAGCCATTTCTCCCTGTCTTCTGACACCCAGCCCTTATGAGGGTCATTTTGTCCTGTGGGGCTGGGCTCGGGCCCTGGTGTGGGCACCAGGCTCCAAGAGCTAAGGGGCAGCGTGCACCTCCCTCCTGAGCAGCTCAAGACATCTGCCCTGAAGAGGTGGCGGCTGAGTGAGTGTGAATGGGAGATTTTGGGGTCGTCCTAAATGTGGCAGCTCTTCCAACACCCCTTCACCCCTAGACAGGCTGAGACCCGCTCCTGCTGCACTTCCTGTCTTCCCACACCAGCACTGCAGCAGATGAGCCGAGGGGCCCCACTCACAGAGGCTTATGAGATGCCTCCCTCCCACCTACCCATCCCCACATCCTCAGTTCTCCATCGCTCCAGGCATGGAGAAAACCAGACCGCCCCACCTTCTGGTGCCCGGCCCTGTGCTCCATAGCATAGGGAAGAGGGCAGGATGACCCCAGAGAGTCCCTAGGAGGCAGAAACTACCATGTCCCCCAGATGACCAGGGGCGCAGTATAGACTCACAGGAAACATCCGGTGACACCTGAGCAGGTGAGGGGCTGGATACAGGTAGTGTCTTCCTAACTGCCGCATGGGCCCAATGGCTGGACACACCTGTAAGCCCCCCATAGTTAGGGAGGCAGGAAGGCGTCCTGGAGAAGGTGGGTTGTGCACTGAATTGACTGAGGCAGAGGTACTCAGTGGCTGTTCAAGCAGTGTGCTTCAATCTTGCTTCCAGCTGGGAAATTCAAATATGGGGTTGTCACACACACATGCATGCGCGCACACCCTCTTCTCTCCCTCTCTCTCCCTCTCTCTGTCTCCTCCCCAGCTTTCCTCCCTGCCTCCTTCTCCTCCCTCCCTCCCCTGTTCAGAGGGGATCTGTGGCGGAGCAGCGGCCCTCATACCACGAGATGAATAATTGACAGGGTCGTTTAAACATTCAGGGGAGTTTTGCCAGGCTCCTCACACTGGAATAACTCATTTCTTTCATTCTCTCGAAAGCATCTCCCCTCCTCTGCCACCCCTGCCCCCTGCTCCAGCTTTGTTTCTTTCTCTTTCTTGAGCCTGCTGGACCCCACGGGACCCCTCCTGCCCCGTTTAACTGTGCCCACCGGTAGGAGACAACTGCAGCACAGACCCAGTTTCCTAGGCATGGGAAGCAAGGCCAGGGAGCAGTGGCTTCTTCCAGGTCACACACACCAGGAGAGGAGTCCCAGCCGGCTCTCCCCTGGAGCACGCTGCATCCTGTGCTTTGGTTGTCCCATCAGTAGCCAAGGAGGGCAGCTGCCCTATGCTGTGGGCCTCGCATGGCTTTCTGCTCCTGCCCTGCAGTGTTCAGTGCCGCCACAGTGTCCCCCTCGGCACCCCACGGTGCACGGGCCCCTGTGCCCAGTTCTCACAGCCTCTCCTGGTCCTGGAAGCGACCTCGCACCCTCTCCCCTTCTCTGGCTCCCAGATCCTGCCTCCATCAGTACAGAGGTTGGAGCAAATGAGCTATGCTCCATGGCAGAGCCTCTGCCCAGCCCCAGAACCCTGCCAGCCCAGGACTGCAGACTACAGGACTCAGCTCCACCTGGTGGCAGTTTCTCGGCAGGAGTCTCAGAGGACGGGAGGACCAGGACACCTGGCACTGCCCACAAGGAAGTCAGATAGAACCAGGCATATCTGCACATCTGCCTGGGCGAGGACTTTGAGGTGATCAGGATGCCTGGGCCTCTCAGGGGCCAGGAGACCAGCACAGAGCACAAGCCAGGCCTGGAGGGAAGCTTCCCTGCCTGCAGCAACCCCAGAGGGGACCCTCATCCTTCGGGACAAGGGGCAGAGACACACAAGAGGACAGGAAGGGAGACAAGTGGAACAGGAGAGCAGAGCCACAGGTGCCCCAGCCTCCACGATCCTCCCAACTCAGTGTCCCCTTCGGGCCACCTACATGAGCACCAGACACCCCTGCGGCCCATCCTCCCCACCCCCACAGCCCAGACTCCATAGCCCCCAATGCCATCACCTGTGCAGCCCCTGCCTGCCCACCTGATCTCAAGGCCCACCTACAGCATGTGCCCACTGCACATCCACAAAGGCCCTGTCACCCACACTCGGCCCACCAGGCAGCAGAGCTTCTCAGGGCCCTGGCCACCCTTCTGGTCCTCACTGTACCCTGCAACTCCAAGCCCTTCAAGCTGGTTCCTGGAAGGGGCTCTAAAAATCACCTTACCAGCTCTGTTCCTTTCCTGATCCTCCCATCTCTGTCCTTTTCCTCCTCCGGTACACAGGTAGCGCTTACTAAGCACTTAAAGAAAGGAGAGAGGGAAGGAGAAAGCTGGGCAG